AGAGCCAAGAGACTGGCCTGACAGCGGCCTGCCGGCTGCAGCTCCCTGAAAGGGTGCTCCCCTTCAGGGAGGGGCCGCAGCCCAGGCTGGGCCTGCGACCGTTCGGACTGTCCGTTCACGAGCGAATCCTGAAAACAGACGACAGGGGGCACGGAAGAACAGAAGGGTAGTGGAGGAGGGTCATTCCAGGACCGGCTCCCAGAGCGAGCCTTCTAGGGAAAGGCCCTGCCAACGGCCCTGGGTGCCCGAGCGCTCGCTTTCCGCAGCACCTCCCTGAAGCCAACAGCCCCGTGAGCTGAGGGCTGTGACCGTTCTCCACGGAAGGGACGCCGGCTCAGGAAAGTCCAGGGACCGCCACGGACCCTGCACTTAGACACAGGCGCGCTGAGACCCGACGCCGCAGCCTCCTCTCACCCGCACTGAATTACATCCACAGAACAGAACTCTCTCACACACGCAACCCTCCCACCCGATCCCGATCCTCGGCGGGATGGCCCAGGGCCGCGAGGAGGAGAGCAGCAGAGCGAGGCGGAGGGCAGGGCCAAGGGGAGTCCGAGGACGGCCTTGGGAAGCGAACCTGGAATTCTGATGACATTTTCCAAGACAATGAAAAAGAGGACAAAGACAGCAGTGAATTAGGGCGGGAAACAAATCTCTCTAGGTGTTACCAAATAGTATTACTAGGAATGTAAAGAAGGTGGTGTGACTTTTTTTTTTTTTTAAAGGCAAAGTTAACCAACACTTCTCTAGACCATTCCATGGGCCCAATTGTTCGTAGAGTCTAAAAAAGAAAAAGGTGTAACACGAAACTATACCACAAGTTTTCGTCTGAAGGCAACGGGGTTCGTTTTTAGAGGAAAATAACCAGGGAACAAAGACTGGGACTCTGAGATTAGGATTCACAGAGGAAATATATACTCTTTTTTGGGGCGGGGGGGGGGCAAAGAAAAAATGACAAGGTTTGAAATCTGGGTTAACTTAACCAAGACAAGTAGAGGAGAAAAGTAAAATGTCTCATTTCTTTATTTTCAGTGGGAAGTGAGAGAAGAAATGATACTTTCAACATTTATAAAATAAGTTTCTGCATTGCAGATCACTGAAGGAAAAAAAAAGGAACAGAAAGGAAAACAAAACTAGTTTGTCTTAAAATAGCCAACCACTTCAGACATTAATCTCAAATAGTTACACCTTTCAAAAGACACATTTAAAATTACAACGGAAGGATCCAAAAAATTTTTAAAAAGGTATGAAAAGATCATTCACCTGGTGGAATAAACCCCCTGTGGCCATATTGTCAAGCAAAGCAAAATATAAAGGCACTTTTACGTTGATAACTGGCCTGACCTACTTGTTCAATAACAGCTGCACAATAAGTGTCATAAAAAAAAGACAGTAAAACACAAGGAGAAATGGGTATGAAAAAGTATAGTAGTCAATTTTATCTACCTACTTACATGCTGTTCAATCAGCTGGTCAAAAATTAAGGACTTCAACCAAATGAAATTAAAAACAGATACTACACCTTAAAAAGTCACTATTTCAAGAATAAAAATATTTGCAAAATAACACAGCGGTTAAACTACAATTACCACAAGTAAATAAATAAAAGCAGGAAGTAACATCCTTAAGCATAACCTAAAAGAGTATGTATGAAGTTATTCGGTCAAATGTACATAAACAGATAAAAATATAACACATTTGGGGACAGCCAAAACTATAATGAAAGGTAAATTTATAGTCTCAAATATCCTTTTCCTTAGAAAAGTGAAGAAAACATATTACGAGTCAACTTGCTGTTTCGGGGAAGGGAGAAGGCAAGCAGCGGCACGCGGCGGAGACCCAGCACCCACGCACGCGCTCCTCCGACTGCAGCTTTTCCGCGCCCGCCAACCCACCTGGAGCGAGGCAGCCTCGCCGCGCCGTCCGCAGGCGCGCGGCCCTCCGCACGCCCCACCCCTCGCCCAGGGCGGCCACACCTGAGGGCAGTCACCCGGAGGAGACCCTCCCTCCAGCCCCACCCCCCGCCCGGGCCGCGGCTCTCGCCGCCCGCGCCCGAGGCCAGGTGGGCGCCGCCAGGTCCGGGCGCTGACCCTCACCTGGCGCAGGGGCGGGGCGCAGGTGCTCGGCAGGCCGGCGCCTCCTCCCACCCCCTCGCCGGCCCCCGTCCCCGGACCGCCGCCCCGGAGGGCTCGCCCTGCTGGCCAGGGCCGCCCCACCCACCCCGCCCCCGGCGGGCGCGCGCCCCGCTTGCTCCCTCGGGCCTCCACGCCTTTTCCAGCGCCGGGAAGAGCCTCCGCCTGGGAGCTGCCCGTGCCTCGGACCCGGGGCCACCTCCGCTACCCCACTGGTGGGGTGAAACCGACCCACGACCGACCAAGAAAAGGGCCAAGGCAGGGGTCCCGGGAGCACGTCTCTGGGCCAACGCGACGCGTGCGGCGAGCCCACAGGTGTACTGGAGGTCTCGGTTTTCTGAGAAGTTCAAGCATTTCAGGGGAATGCGAGCCTAAAATAGTTCATATAAAGTGTAACTGGCCCGAAGGCACCGCAGTGTAGTTCGCGAGGCCCGCACTTAGCGCTGGAGGCACCGCTGTGAGGCCGGGCCAGGCAGAGGCGGCAAGAGGCAGGGCGGGCGCAGGGAGGCCAGGCCGGGGCAGGGCCCGCCGGGGCGAGGCGCTCGCCCTCCATCCACACCACCTGGCGATGGCCACGGGCACACACGCCTGCGGTGCCTCGAAGAGGAGCCGCTGTTCGTGTTTTGGCAGCGATTGGCTCAGCACCCCAGGTGTTACCGATTTCGGTTGTGCCACGAGGCTTCACAGAGCCACCCAGCAACACTCCATCGCAGCCAATGCCCACGGGCTGCTTGCTGGCGTGGGAGGTCTGATGGCTCTGCAGGTGGGCACAGGGTCATTGCGCCTGGACCCTACTTTCACAGGAACGCCTATGCTAAAGGCGCTCTCCGCACCAGCACCACTAAAGGTGCGGAGAGAGCTAGTGCCCCGGGCTAGGCCTGAGAAAACATCTTTCTACTCGATCCAGCCCTGGCAATTGAGTTTCCAGGCAAAACTATTTTTAGATTAATTTAATAATTTACTTGATAGATTCTATTTAGTTTTATTTTTAAAGACAGTGTGATTAGATAAAAGAAGCTTCTGCCTACCTTCATGTCTGTCTTATAAAGTTAAAAGTATCATTTTAAAAACCCTCACCAGGGGCGGAGCATAGAGGACTTCTGGTTCTAGAGTCTTCAGGCTCTTAGACCGACCTCCTAGTTCTCAGGGAAGCGAGATCGAGAAACCCTTTCCACGCACTCGGGAGTAAAGCCCCGCCACTGCACCAGCACCAGACGGCGGCCCAGGGAGCCGGGCCGTGCAGGGACAGGCGCTGGCCAGAGCACAGGAAGCCTGAGTTTTGGTCCCTCAGCTTAGACAGCCGACTTAACCGCCAGTCTCTCACCTGCTCTTAATCTAGAATTTGTTAGTGAACCTATAAAGAGTTCAAAGGAAGCACATGAACTACACTTTTAGGGTTCATTCAGCCTAGAGAACATTCAGAGAAAGGCCATAGTAAATATTTTTTGTAAATATCTCCTAAACAAGGGGGGGAAATGTTTTATTCAGCCAGTTGAAAATTAAAAAGGTAAATGAGTGATCCTTACCTTCTACTTTAAGAATTTATATGTCTTGTGCTCCCACAGACAAACGATTCTAAAACCCGTGTACCGGGGACTGTGACTAGCCCTCCCCACAGGCCGAGGTGTCCGCCCACAACAGGTTTAAAGACAAGGAGACCGCACCTCAGAACAGCTCAAGCGATCAGCACGGACACCTCAGGGCCACAAAAGGGCCACTGCCAAAACAGATGGGAGAACGGAAAGCCACGGACCCAAAACCCAGAAAGAATGAGAAAGAACCGCGGGAAGCCTGCCCCTGGCGACGGAGAGAGGAGGCTGCGCGCAGTGTGCACGGTCAGTAACGACACATGCTGTGGGGCAGCAGGCATACCGACATCGTAGGCAATAAAAGAGAGATGGAAAAATGTCTAGGGCCTTGTCTGACCCTCCAAACCTGAGAGACGCTTCAAACAGCATCTGAGTCACATGCATCTCGGTCAGTCATCACTCAGCGCGACTGTCACCGGAAGCCACACCCCACAGAACACACGCATCACATCATGTGATTCCAAATACTCCAAGCAAATGTTACCTCGATATGTAACTGTGTACTTTATAAAAAACACTGTGAAACCATCCAGAACTTTATCTATAGAAATGTAATGTATTTGATTTTTGGATTTTAACTTAATGGATTTAAAAAACGCCCCCGTTTCAGTACCCGTGCATGGGGAGAGCACCAATGTCAGAGCTTTCTGGGAGGACTAATGATAAATCATTCAAAATGTTTCGAAGCCATGAAATACCATACATGTCAGTTAACAGATTCAGCAGCATTTTTATAACAGCCTAAAATTGTAAACAACCCAAATGTTCACCAACAAATGATCCAATAAGCAAACTGCGGTATCTCCACTACTCGGCAACAGTATGGGTGAATCTCAAAATAATTATATTGAGTTTCAAAGCCAAAACAAAGAAAGAAAAACAGAATATATACATACTATATAATGTCATTTGTACAAAAGTCTGGAAAATGCACACTAGGTTCGGGGAGAGAGCAGGCAGCCTGGAAGACAAGGGGCGTGGCCGGTGGGGGCTGGGGGGGCGCCCTGGGGCTGGGGGCGGCGAGCGCCCGCTCCCTATCTCCAAGGCGGTGACGCTGCGTGAGGGCACACACGTGTGAGATTAAATTACAGACTTTAAATATGTACAGTTTATTGTATATCAATTATGCGTCAATAAAGCTGTTCATTTTAAAGTTGATGGCAATGTATAAATTTGCATAGGTATCCAGTTGGTCTTCTCTACATATATATATATATATAAAAATTTTAAAAAAACATACAGATGCTGATATTTTTTCTTAAAAAAATAAACAACTTACTTTGCATTTCCAGCCATTGGTTGGTACTGATTTCATAACTGGTTGAAGACAAAAAGTATGATACCCTTTGTCACACGTATCACACACTAGCATCTTGCTATCTTCTCCCGATTGTCTAAAAAATAAGATAGCATTAATGGTGCCTGATCTTCACACTCACGTCTGTACCATAAGCAATCATCTAAAGACTCAGCCCTGAGGCCTGCCCAGCTCTGTGTCCTCAGTGTCTGCTTTGTCCCCGTGGAGAGAGCGACAGAGGCAGCCCCCAGGGATCGGACTGACGAGTCGCGAGCGCCCTGAAGGAGCTTCCTCGCTGAGGCTCACCTAAGGCCAGCCGCTTCAGCCACTGGGGCCTCCTGCAGAGCAGGCCCGCCAAGATGGCTGCCTCTGACCCTCGGGGCAGGCACGCACGGCACCCTTTCTGGGGAGGAGCCAAGCGGGCCTGGCACCGGGCCCCGGGTCTGGGAAGGCAGCGGTGGCCCAAGGGGGCTCAGAGCTGGTGCCAGCCTTGCCTTTGTGCTCACACCGCTGGCTTCCTAGCCGGGTGCCTCCTGAGTAACTCTGACTTGAGTTCTCTCTGTTTCAGGCAGAAGGTGTAAGCAGTTATCAAAGATCACTGTGAGAATTAAGTAGAATTCTGGTTGAAGGGCTTAGAATTTGTGTGTTAAATAAGTAGGTATAAGAATAATCATCATAATTATTAAGCACTGTACTTTAAAAAAATCTCTGCTTTGATTCTTGGCTATTAATTAGTAATTCTCAAATACTAAAGATTTAATTCAAGAGGAGGGAAAAGGAAAACTGGGCACTGCAAGAAAAGGAGCTGCGAGAGGCAAGGCTGCGTGAGGCCTGGGGGCCGGCAGAGCGACACGGGCCGCGGGTCGGTCAGCCTCCCCCTTCCTTCTTTGGCTTAACAAATTCTACATATAAAACTGCATGTTTTATCTCTCTAGCTGCATGGAGAGAGAGTGCAGGAAAAGCGCTCTTTCTTCAAGTTCTCTTATTCCCTCCCAAGAACCTAGGCACAGATTCAAGGTACCAAATCAATGTTTACTGACATTTTCTTTAATTTTTACCAAAACATAACAGCACATGGTCTGAATTATTTCATCTAATTCTGAATTACTCAGGCTTATTGTTAGCAAATTAAGGTGTGAATAAAACAGACTGATTATGGGAGTTGTGGTCATAATTTCTCCTGGGTAAAAATAATTTGAAGGCTGCTGTACATGCAGGTAACACCCCCAAATTATCATGCTAATTAGTAGCAGGAGAAAAAACATCACAGAAAAGATTGGAGAAATGACTGAAGGATGGAAAAGAACAATTAGGAAAAGATCGCCCCATTACAAATGTTTAAATGCCATGGGGTGTCTTTCAGTTTCACAGTGACGAGCATCTGCTGATGTGGACTGCCTTATCTTTCCTACTAAATCCCCTCCCCAGACTCCCTCAAAAGAAGCTGCTTTATTTTTCTAATACTCATAATTTAAATCATTAACACCATTCATTTACAAATTGTTGACCATTTAAATTAGCTTTTTAGGCAACCAGAGGATATTAAAGTGTGAAATCAGTTTTCGTGTAGACTTTGTTTCAGAGGCGTGCAAACGTTAATACAGAGCTGGCATTTACTTCGTCAATGAAGACACGGTGAAGCCAAGGGGAGGAACACAGCTGCAGGCCGCACAGCCTGCAGCACGGGACACAAACCTTGCGCACCTACGACAGGGTCTCTCTTACACTCGATACACACCTGTGAGTTGAAATTAGAACTTACTTGCAGTTCTGGCACACCTTGCACTCGGGACATTGCCACCCTGCACGTTTTAATGGAGTAACCGCTATGTCCAGGCACATTCCATGATAGTGCTGCCCACAAGTAGTACAAAAGAACTGATCTAAGAGGTCTCCCGGGCTGTCGCACACTGCACAGTTTGCATCTTCCTTTGCTACAATTAACAGTAAAACAATGAGATTGTTGTATAAGAATTTAGTATTTTTCTGACTTTACAGTTTAAAAATAACTTGAAGGGAATTGGCATGGTACATCTTTCAGACACTTGCAGTTATCCACATTGAAGTGATATCCAATCCGGATATGGTCGCGATAAAAACAGTGTAATATGATTACTCTACATTTAATCACAGTAAGTTTAATCATCTAGTTTTGCGACTGTCTGTGCCTACAGGTACTTGAGACCATAAGCAATTCTGAGGTAACTCTATATTCCTCACACCAACGGTAAGCTGGGCACCTAGTCGGTGCTCGGTATACGCTGCTGAAAAGAAGCAAACAGGAAAATATCAACTGAGAGGTGTCTGCAGTGCAAAAAGAAACAGTTTATTTGGATGTTAAATGTTTTGAAATTAACAAAATCAGGTAAGAATCAAAATTAAGAAATGTTAATATCAATTAGCTTTAGATGCTTCTTAAGTATAAACAGACTAATTTTCATTTCAATCAAATAAGGCGTTTGAATACTGGAAAATATCGTATGAGGTAGAACATTACAGATGGAAGCTACATATTCATACCCAAAAACTTCATATACTGTTTTGATATTCATGTCTATTAATTGCCAGTTGTCAAAAAGCATTACATTTTACATAATTATAAACATCATCTACCCCCTAAATGTGATAGAAAGAAATGGCACACTTTAAACAGTCTTTTTACCACTTAAACAAAAAATAATTATAAGAATAAACTGCCCTTTGCCAAGCATACAGTTAAACTCATGCGTATTACAAAATACGGAAAATAACGCTTCTACGGTCACAGCACTTGGGTAGATGTGTAACGGTGCCTGCATCTGACTCCCACCCAGGGGCTCAGCAAGCCGGGCGATTCGCTGGTTACCCTGGGGCTGTTTCCAGCTGTGTATATAAATTCTCTTCCCTTTTGCATTTTGAAGGTTTGGTCAGTCCTCTCTGGCTGTAAGCCCTTTCTGCCTTCTTTCCCTGTCAAGCATCTTGAAAAAATTCCTTCTCCTTACACCAGCAGTCAGCAAACTGGTTTTGTGGGCCACAGAAGTCTCTGGTGGACAGACTTGCTTTTATTTCAGAGTCCTTTATAAATGGTAAAAGCCATTTGTAGCTGGAGGGTAGTTCACAGTGGGCCTGCTCCGTGCCTGGCCCAGGATGGACCCCTGTGGCTCTGCACCCTCCTCGCACCTGCAGTCCCTGGAAGGAGGGGACTTCGGACACCTCCCTTATTTGCAAGGGGCAGCATTTACATTCCGACCCAGACCCAGCAAGATTTCCCTTCCCTGGCTTCTACGCTGGCCTGTCCCCAGCTTTCTCCCTCAGTTCCCCACCCGCTGGGACGACGCCATCGCATCCTCCTGGGCGGGCTTTGTGCCTCCCTCCCTCCCAATGCCGGTGCCTCTGAGAACAGCATCCAGTTCCGTCTTTCCTCACCCCCCACGCCCCCCCCCCCCCCCCGTGATCACGCCACCCAATCCATAGCACTGGCCCCAACTTCTTTCTAAACCCACACACATTCTTGTCAGGTCTCCCTGGACCTCAGCAGCCAGACGTTCCAAAAGCTCGCACTCAGCCTCTCTAGCTCTCTCTCCTCTCAACCAGTGTCAGCGTCACTCCTGGCCCTTTAACCCTTCCCCGACCCAACACAGCCACTCCAGTGGAGTCAACTTTTGGTAGTGTCCCCCCGCCCCCGCCACCCTACGCACAGCTCGTTTTTGGCCCCCCGCCTGGGTCACTGCAGTGTCTTCGGAATGGAGCCCCTGAACCTAGCCTGACGACCTCCCCAAATCACTTCCTGCACATCCAGAGCTGCTTTTCAACGCTGTGACCTCCTTAGATGAAAACTTCGCCATCCTTTTTGGTCGAAAAAAGGAAAAAGATAAAAACTTTCTAGAACGATGCAAAAATAAAAAACACAAAAAAACAAAACAAAAAAAACAAACAAATGATTCTCAGAACCATTCCCCACTTCCTGGTCAGGCCTGCTGCGCACAGAGCACAGGCCGCTGTTCTGAGCAGGACACCCTGTCCCCTCTGCTTGGAATGGGGCTGTATCATACCCCCAAGTCCATTCCAAAACTCGGCTCAAACACAGTCCCCGAACAGGGAGCAGTATAACACCTAAATACCTAGGTAGCTGCTGACTATTTCTTTCTTCAAGTACTTCGAAGAAAATGTTACAGAAGGGGGGTAGGAGCCCCCGAAAAACCCAGAATTATCTTCTGGAGGGCGGGCCGCTTCAGGACAGGCTTTCCCGGCTGGGTGAGTGTTCTAGGAGCCCATCTGCATCCATGGTGTTGAGAGCTGGTGTGGTTTGAGAGGCTGTGTTCAGCTTCAGTGAACTTTTTTGAAGACTTTCAACACATTTTTCCACTTCATGATGGGGGATTCAACAGCACAACAGCGCACTGCACTGAGTGTTCAGCAGTTTTCGACTGAAAAAAAAAAAAAAGGGCAGAACCCCTGGGCCCCGCCCTCCCTATTCACTCGCCAGGAGTGAGTTTCTGTTTCTTTGTTTGTTTCTCAGATGAAAAAAGTCCTCAAAGGAAGATGTTCTGCAGATGTGGAAAATGTGAATCAAAAAAAAATGGCAGAAGCATTAAAAGGCATCAAAATCAACAAGTTCAATAACTGTTTTGAGCAGTGGAAAAAACATCTCGATAGGTGCATTGCATGAAATGGAGAAGACTTTGTAGGTGACTGAAGTTTAAACATGTAAGAATAAATACACAGTTTTTAAATCAATAAATGTCGGGGTTATATGGGGTTCCCTTTCATATAATTGATTATAACCCAATCCTGTGTTTCCTCAAAGGGTGGGGACCTTGCCTTTCCAACCTTGCACCCTCAGTGCCGAGCACAAACAAAGCCTCCTTACATATTCGTTTCAAATACATGACTAGCTTCTAAAATCACTTTTAAGTGGCTCTTTGATTGACAGGTATTAATTTAAAAATGGAAATGTCACAAGTTTGTTTTTGATAGAAATGGCATAACAGAGTGCCTTAATTTTTCTTAATACTAAGAGAGAGAGTGCCAATCTTTACTCACTCAAGCTATGGACATTTAACAACTAATCTTTGATATTCGCCTTCCCTCAGAACATACAGAAAATGGGGTGAATGCTGGACTCTGCGTATCACACACTCAGCTCGCCTATCTACTGCCATCTGCCAGCAATACTGCCTAAAGCACTTCTGTGGAATGTGCTCAAGTTGCCGCTCTGACACTCCAACTTGCCATGGCAGCTTGGCCACTAAGCGAATACAATGTGGTTAGTCAAGTTGAGATGTGCTGTACACATAAAACACACCCCAGATTCCGAAGATTTAGCAGGGGAAAATATGTCAAATATCTCAACACTTTTTACTGATTACAGGTTGAAATACCACGACTTTGCATGTACTGGTCACGTGACTCCTAGTACAGGGAAGCCACGCCTACTGCTCAGGGCGCCTCTCCGTGAAGCAGCCCGGTCCTCCAGAGCAAAGGCCACCCACACCGCAACAGTGGTTGCTCAGACAATGTCTTCATGCTGCTACTGCTCCCGGCAGTTCCTCCACGACGATGCTGTCCTTTTGTTTGATTAGTATGCGTCATTGGTAATACACTCAGCAAAGAAAAACATCCACATGACACACTGGGTCCAAAAACATTTACTATATGATATGTAAAAATAGTAACAGAAAAAAAGCGCTGCATAAAGAAAGGAGGCGTGCCGCCCACTGCCTGCCCACTGCCTGCCGGGTCAGGGAGAGGGCGTGGGCAGCCCCGCCCAGCCCGGCAAGGGCCGGCTGGTGGCCTCCCGCAGGTGTCGATGCGCGCCACAGGGGTGTGGTGCTTGAAGTGATAATCAAACAGCTACGGGAGGCTTTCCTTGAAGTGCTTGGAAAAGTAATGGAGACGGAGTGAGAAACCACAGTTAAGGCAACCCGAGTGGACAGGAGTAGGTCGATTTGGCTCTGAAGGTCATGCTCTGGAGTCCTCGCCACAATGACCCCCAGGGGGAGGGCAAAGCAGCTGGCGACCATCAGCGTGTGCACAAAAGCAGAAAGGGCCGGCCCAGGCTGGGACCGGAGAGCTAGTGATGCAGAGGTGGGGGCAAGAAAAGAGCAGGAGGAGCAGGAGGAGACGCTGTGGACAAGGTCGCTTCCTAAGTGACAGCTGTGACGTGAGAAGAGACGGAGAAGACAAAAACCATGAGCTTGAATTCGAAGGGAGCGTATCACAGACCCTCCCACTTGGCCACGCTGGAAGGTGAGACTCCTGCTCACCCAAGCCTAGGGGCGCCCAGGCACAGCCGCGCTGGCATACACGAAAAGCAAGAAAGGCCGAGGCGCCGCCAGGCGGCGGCAGTTCAGGAGGCCGCCCTCAGCACAGCTTTGCGCGACTCCTGCTGATACAACCAGACCTGCCGGCGACGCTGCTGTGGCTGGCAGAGCGCCATGCTGGGTGGCTGCCCAAGCACGTGGCGGCTCTAGAAAGATGCAAATGGCAGACGTTGTGCAGAGAGGCTGGCCCAGGGCATAGACAGGAAGCAAGAGTGAAAGGCGGGGTCTGGCAGAACCGAGGGTAACAGCAAAGCAGCAGGACTGGGTGTCAAGAGACGCAAAGACAACCAGGAAACTAAGTCCAGAGCTAAACACTGAACCAGAGACACAGGAGCGAAAGCTGAGCGACAACAGCGAGCGCACTGCTGGGAGGGCAGGGGAGGGTACTGAGAGGTACAGCGGGCCCTGCGCTCAGACCCCGGCAGACAGCGGGCGCCCAGACCCCGTCCCTGGATGTCCAGTCTGTGTTCCCCTGGGTGTATCTGCCGCCTACCCAGCGGACACTCTGGTCCAGGCACAAGGCCTCGCTGACTGTCCCACAGCTCCTCTCTCAGGCCCGGGCAGTGTAGCCCCGCCCGCCTGGCATGTCCTTCCTCTGATCCTGCATGGCTGGTGCCCAGCTGGCCAGCTTCCCGAAAGGGAAGTCATTCCTCAGGAGGCGCATCTTACCGCCTCTCCCGACAGACGTTGGTGTCAGTGGTCCAGACAAGGTACCCGTATACTTGCATCATCATGACAATGCTGGAGGCAGGACCAGCACTGACCTGTGACACAGAGCACCCTAAAATTCTTTGCTACTCGGAGTCCTAGCCTTGTTCACCAATGCTCTCTTTTTTGGGATTTCTTCCTAATGAGGTCTGCGTGTTTGTCAATTTTCATAAAAATGTGTCTTACTCCTAAACTCAGCTATCACCCTACCATACTGCTCTACACTTAGGCAGAAGCATAAACCATCATGCTGGATGCGTACATTTGGCTTGAGTCTCAGATGAGAGCTAAAGTGACCACCTTTGTGTAAAGCTATGAACGCTGATAAGGTAGAAAGCCACACGATAGTCACTGATTAGTAGTGTCTCTTAACCCACGCTCATTTAAGACACGAAGAGCTGTGCGCTTGTGCCGCAACACACAGTCGGGGCCGCAGTCGGGGCAGCGAGGAGACTGCGGGAGGGCTGCCGCGCAGCCTCGTCCATCGCTGCAGCTCGTCCTGCCTACAGAGTCTCTGCGCCCTTGGGCAGGGCAGACAGTCAGAGAGCTGTGTGTCTGCACCGCACCGTTCAAGACGCCCAAGAAATGGAATTTCCTCAGCGGGGCTCTGATCTTTACCACTGGCTTACTTTGAGGGCTGACAGAAGAAACTGCCCTGTAGGATTTGTTTCTTCTACTGCAAGGCAGGCCCTTCGAGACAATTTTTCACTGCAGCATGCAGCGTATACAGTTTCAGTATCCAGTGAATTCTTAAATACCTCTTCGTGCTGACTGCTGGGGCGCTCTGGAGCCAACCTGCGGCTTGCAGTTAGGGAGAACGTATTTACTAGGTATCTGCCTCCCCACTACCTTCACGTTCAGCCTGTCCTTATGTTCCCATGGCCAAATTTCCTTGCTTATTTTTAGTTTTATTTGATTCTACCATTCATGTATTTTTATCTATGTGGGGACAAGGCATGGTACCAGTAACCTCAGACCATCTGCAAGTTTTATGTCACCTGTGTGAGCCTCTCACTATGTGTGTGATCAACGGCAGCGAGGCATCGTGCCTCGGTTCTTATACTTCATTCCTCTGAGAAACGACGTACGACCCCTAAAGCGCAGGTGAGGTCTGCACTAGCAGGACACAGTACTGCCGTCATGTGATAAAATATCTTACGTTAGAAACAGGGCCTTAGGAAAGTTCCCATGTTGTTGACTCAGCTCCAAAGCAAAGTACAAAAGGCTGAGTAAAACTCAGATTCCCACATCCACACACGACTGTTTTATTCCACTGACAGAGTGCAAGGCACCGCCCAAGCACCACCGGCGCCGGCGACCGAGGCTGCAGTCCGGGCGCCTCGTGAAGGGGCCCCCGCACGAGGTCTGAACGTGAAGGGCGCTCGTGAGCACGGTGGGCGTGGATGTTCTTTCCCCCAGATTTAATGGTGTGTGATCCAAACATTCAGAGACCTTTAAATCCCTTATTAGCCTAAATACAATCTGACATTTCAGTTCGCCTTGCCTACAATCTATGTCTGTTTTGGAGACTGGGGACGGTATGATTATACATGTAGACACAAAATAATTTTAACCGAAGATAAAGTTATGGTGCTAAACAAAAATAAAGAAATGGTTGTGAAATCTAACTGTGCTTGAAATTACTTCAGTTTAAGCCTGAGGTAGCTATATTTATGGTTCACAGAGATGAGAAAGACAGGAAAGAAGCCTTTACTGACGTTGCCAAGGAACAGGTAAAAGCTGACAATTAGATCAAAAAAGACTGAATAAAGCATCACAGGTATTTCACAACGAGACTGGAAACTCAGTTTACTAGGGAAAAAGGGCCCAAAGCGCACACGCTCATTGGAAAGCCACAGTAAGAAAAAGAGAAGAGCTCTGTGTAATGGTAAAGAGGAGAAAGAAGGATAATTTTCTGTGTAACACAAAATTCAAACAGTCACACGTTCTCACTTAACTGTAACCCACTGGGAAGAGAAAGGAAAAAGCACCAGGGAGGGGCCGCGGCCGAGGAACCGAGCAGCAGCGCCAACGGCCGCCGCCCGGAACCGGCCCGGTGTCCAGACCTCAGGCGCCTCTGCTGACCCGTCGATACCGCGCACCATGAAGTGACGCCTCAGCGGGCCAGGTCCAACCTCGCTCATCTCGTGGCACATAACCCCATCACTAACATGCTGCAGCGCACGAAAGTCATTTGTTCCCGAGCTGCCAAAAAGATAGGTGTAATTTTGACTCATCCCTCCAGGGCTGGCTATTGTGTTGGCTGCTGCCATTTTATTGCTTGACAACCAAGGGAAAAGACGGTGGCGCCCCAACTGCACAGTCAGGTACCGCGTGTCTCACGCGCGCTTGCGGCGCACGGGCAGAAATCGCTGCCCGAGTCCGCGGTCTGCTGCTGCTCCACCTTCAGTGTAAACGACGCCGGATACTGTGTAACTTTTAAAATGACCTACTGTAGAGGACACACTAAAACAATACATCCTGAGTACTTCTATCTTTCAACTAGGGTTTAAAATGTTTCTAAATAAGGAAAAACAAGTAAATTACATTTGTATTTCTGAGGACATAACTTTTTGGATTCAACTTCAATGACACTGTTGGTGAGATTTCCCCCAAGGACCTCTGGCAAAGATCCCTCAGAATATCAAGATTATATAATATCACCTTTTAATGCAAGTGGAATAACGCTTTGGGAACTCAGGACATTGGCCCTGGCAGGCGAGCGCGCTGATAACGGGCAAGAGCGTGTCTGCGGAAAACTCACATCTCTCGGGAGCCTGGTCGGCGTGCTCTGGGCAGAGGAGGAGGAAGCGGCCGGCGTCCTGGAAGGTGCCGGCCCCCACGGCACAAGGGTAGTGGTACCTCCGGGCGCATTTCTCTTCACAGCATTTGACAGTGGCTCCAAGGTGCTTACAAAATGCACATCGCTGCAGGGCAGGAGGGAAAGGCAGTTCTTTATAAAACCGGGAGAGGAGTATTCAAGTACAGGGCTAGGGAGGTATTAGAAATCTTTACACATCACTAGAAAAACTATTTGAATCAGCAGGATATCAAATAAAGGACTCACTAAAAATAAAAAAACCTAAGGTCCTCGGTTCATGCTTCGTATAACACAGTGTCATCCTTCCATTCACGTTTACAAAGTTAGCATTTCACTTTTTTCTACTAATGTCATCAAAACGTACAACTAAATTTTTTAGGAAATCAATAATATGGTTAAAAAGGTGGGTTTCCTGTTTACAGTTATTTGAACAGTGTTTAAATCCCATCAACAAACAAATAAAATGAATATATAGTATTTATAAAATGTCTTACTATATCACCTTCCCTAATAATCAATATGAAGTAAACTAGCCAATCATAGAGTAAGTTAATGAAAGACAACTATATCGTCAAAGACACCAGACCTACACACGTCATTGTAATTAGTTTTGAGGTTCTTCGTAAATGCTGGGAATGTGAAGAAAATTAGGTCATGAGCATCTCCTCTCCTTTCCCACCATCCACTTCAATCTGCTTCGAGCTCGTCCAAGTGACAAAAGCGAAGAAACAAACCCCTCCCCCCACCACCTGATCCATGGGGTCAGGCGAGGGCACCGGTGTGAAGGAGCCAGTCCAGACCACCTGCCGGGCCCTGCGACCCCCACTTACCACCCCCCTGAGCCATGGGTGAAGTCTTGCTAGCCTCCCACGCCCGTCCGGATGTCACTCTCCCCGTGGAGCTTTTGCTGGGTGGCCTCCGTGTAGAGGGGCCTGGCCGTCCCTGTTAGGTGACTTCCATTTTTCCTCATCCCGCTCCAGGATCCCTGAGCAGAGGCAAGGGGCTGTCCTACCCTTGCTTCTGCAGCGCCGGGCACGCTGCCGACCGGAAGGCTGCTTTTGTGCACCCCAAGTGGGTGTTGCTCTGGGGACTCTCGCATGAGTGCAGCTCACAGACAGCACCGCTGGGACACCAAAAGCCAACCGCGACAACAACACGCGGTCGAACCGAGCCTCGCAGACAGAAGGGGCTGCTAACGTCACCGTGAGCACCTTCACAGGCGAAGTGCTGGCTCTACATTTCACCAGTGCATGTGTAAAGCCACAGGCGCAGGCACGTGCCAGCAAACCCTTGCTCGTGTGCCCAGGCGCCCTGCCGTGAGCCAGTGTAAGAACGCACCAGGCCTCACGGGGGGGCTCCTCGCCTTCGAGAGCGGCCGGCAGACCGCCACGGCTCCTAAGGGCCCTGTGAGCGCTGGGTCTGTCTGCAGCGCGTGAGTCCCATGTGAAGTCACGAATCCACACACTGCTACACATTTCAGTCCTTTTTTTGTACTTAAGAGCGTTATTGCCTTTATTGATAAAGTGTAATAAGCAACTTTTTCTAAACTGGATATATATTTAGTTTAAAACCTACCAAGGTAACTGAGCAATAGTAACAGAACGCAGAATTAACAACATTAGTCTGAGTGTCCTTGAGTCAAAATGAAAAGGCCAAGAAAATGTTAAGGCAGGAAAGTGCAGTTCCAAGTCCAATTGATCACTGAAAAGTGTTTCTATTAACTCATTAATATATAATAATTTATGCCAAACTCTTAAAATCTAGAATCTTTGTTACTTTTATAGCATATGCCAAGTTGTACAGAAGCATTTTGCACTAAAAATGATTCTGGCAAGTAAAATATAAAGACTTTTACTTAAGTGCATAATAAGGAAACAAAATAATTTAAATTGATCCTTTTCCCAGTGTCTGTATCTTTTTAGAAACATCAACATGTTCTCTAAATCACATTTGCAATGGAAAATATTATATGACATTAGCTTAACTACTATAAGTCCTGGAATGTATTCAACATACTAATTTATAATAACACATAATGATATCAGGGAATAAAGGAAGGAAATAAAATACAAACTGCTTTTAAGTGAATGCCTCAAACCCATCTGTTAAAATTACAGAGTCACTGAAAGGCATTTGGCATCGAAAGAAAATGTATACTTTACATATAGGCTGGAATATATCTTTTTTGAACCAAATAAAAGGTATTTGTAAAATTGTAGGAAATATCAAAGGATAAATGTCCACAGGAAACTTCCCTAACATCAGCACTCCCATAAACCACATATTAGAAATCAAGCAGATCATAAATAGGTAAAAATTAAAAAGCTAATTAACATTTGGAGAAGGAAAGAAGGTAAGGTAAACAGCTCTTAAATAGTACATCAACTAAACAACTCATTTGAATCAATATTTAAAACTCCGAAATAGCATTTTCCCCACTTTTTTTAATCATTAAAAATCGAGGAGAGGAAGAGAAAGTATTATAATATCTTTTGGCATTAGTCTAAGAACACAGTCTAATCAAAAATAGTTGCAAAATACATCTCTAATAAATGAGTTCTATGGAGAATATACAAAGACCTCTTGCAACTCCGCAGTAAGACAGGTCACTGGGAGAGGGGACCGGGCGAAGACTGGGACAGACACTCCCCTAGAGACGCGCACTGGCAAGTCAGTCCATGAGCCGCGCAGTCGCAGCCACCGGAAAGCACCGTCAAGCCCACGAGGAGACATCGCTGAAGCGGGACGGCCCACGTTTAGACACACAGACGGCAGCCGGCGCCGGCGCAATGGAGAGCGAGCGAAACTCTCCATGGAGGAGTACATGGGCGCTTCTGGAGAAACTGTGAAACTGTTTCCCAAAGTTAAACATGCACTCTCAAACAAACAAGCAATGCCCATCCTCCTGATTTACATGAGAAACACGAAGATGCTCCCTGTCGTGTCCATGTTCACAGCGGCTTTATAAAGAGGAGCCAAGAACAAGCTGTCGCCTGGTGAATAACCATTATGCTAAGTACATGCTGCACAGTTCCATGAATCTGTGTAGAAAATGCCAAGCGACAGAAGAGGAACAGGTCCGTGGCTGCCAGGAGCTGCAGAGCAGAGGGCTGACCTCCGAGGGTCCGAGGGGACCCCTGGGGGTGAAGGGAAGCCTGTCCCTGATGGTGACAGCAGGGGCATGACCGCACATTTCCCAAAACGTGCTCGACTGTAGCCTTAGGAGGGGTGAATTATGTAAAGTATATCTTGATAAAACAGTAACACATGGGGAAAATATTTATTAATTGGACAAAGAGAGGCTAGTATCAGAATAATGCTCTTGAAGATAAAATTTGTAAAATCTGAATAAAATAAAACCTCATTACTTGAAGTCACCTGTGAATAACCAAAAGCAGGCTGGGGTGGAAGGACGTGTGACCCTGGAAAGGAAGCCGCACCCCTGGCGAAGATCTGTTAACCAGGTTTTCAGCTGAGGACATTTCCAGGGCAGAGTGGTACTAGATCTCAAACTACAAGATCAGGTCAACAACGGCAGGAAGGATGAAACTGCAGGGAACCCCTGAAAGGAGTGAGCTCAGAAGAGAGCGCCCCGCAATGTGAATAAACTCACACATCTCTTGATACACCCCTGAAATGGACACTCACAGAGAAACTAAGGAAGGACAGCTAAAGTGCTGAACACACGGAGCAGGCTTCCCATGGTGCAGGCGACGGGGACGGCGTCGTTGGGAGTGCAAGTCCAGAGCCTCCCAGGGAAAAACTTGATAGTGAACAAAACGAGACAGTAGTATCCTGTAACCATAACCTAATGACCTACATGCTCAGCAGGCAATTAAATGTGCTGAGACGCCGGGGGTGGGGGAACCAAACAATGGGACCCACAAGAAAAAAAGTAATATCAAATGTCCAGGAGCAGGGTAACAGAAGAAACCTGAAAATTACAAAAACCACTGAAAATTCTACAATGAGAAATTATAGTAATAAATAAAAATTTCAGTGAGTTTAACAAGGTATTGGATACTATAAACAAAATGGCCAGCCCTGGACAGGTCACTCAGTTGGTTAAGAGCATTGTCCCGATATGCCAGGGATGCAGGTTCGATCCCCAGTCAGGGCACGTACAAGGATCAACCAATGAATGCGTGAATAAGTGCAACAACAGACTGGTGTTTCTCTCTCTGTCCCTTCGCCTCTCTCTCTCTAAAAATCACTAAGGAAAAATTGAAATACATATATAAAAACACATATAAATAAATATATAAATATACATATAAATAAATATATATATAAAAGAAATGGTGAATGACCTCAAAAATAAGTGAATCATTTATCCATTCAAAGGAACTGAAAGTAAAATTATTGAAAAAGAAATTAGCAGAATCCCGGTAGCCTGTGGGACAGTACCAAATGCAGTAAGGTACATGTGGCTGCAATTTCAGAGGACATGGAGCAACGGGACAGAAAAGATAAGAAATAAAGGTCCAACTTTTCACAAATTTGGTGAGGGTGGGGGGGAAATCAACTTACAGTTTCAAGAGGCTCAAGAAAACCCCAAGCAGGAAGTGTTCAGAGAAAATCACGCCTTAGGTACATCCTACTCAGACTGCTGAAAACCGGAGATAGAGAGAGAACCCGAAGGCACCCAGAGAACATCGAAACACTGTGTACACAGAACTAACAATGCTACTGACACCTGACTTCTCGTCAGAAACAATGGAAGACAGGAAACCACGCAGGAATATCAGTTAAATGCTGAGAGAATAGAAACCTGCCGGTGTACAATTCTACAGTAGGAAAAAGAAGAAAACGCATTCCTCCTGAACGCACACTCCTACTTCCAGACAAACGGAGGAGCCTCCCTGTCCCCGTACTTCACACCGCGGACGGCCAGCAGCGTTGGCCGTGACTCACAGACAACACGGACGGTGCTAACAGGCAGCGGAGGCGGCAGACCGGCGAGGACCTCGGGCACAGAGGGGCCCACAGGGCACACTCCGCGGCCCGCTTTCCGATTCCTGCGTACGCAGAGGCGCCGGAGGAGGGCAACCCAGACTCACTAACAGCACCCAGCCGCAGGGCCCAAAGGGACCCAAGGACAGACAC